GTATACAGCCCGGGGACAGGCAGAAGCTGTCTCTGCTGCACAAGCGCTGATGTACTTGCGTGCGGGCTGGCTCAAGCAGGTTGGGGCTGGCTCAGCAAGGCTCTCTGAACGGCTGACAGCTGGCGGCTGGCTGCTGATGTGCCAGCAAAGGCTGATGTGCAAGCAAAGGCTGTTGTGCAAGCAAAGCCAGGCGCAGGCGGCGCTTAGGGTTGGTCTTTGGTCTTTAGGGCGGGGCGCAAGGGCCGTGGCGTGGGGCGCAAGGTGCCGGTGCGCGGGAAGGGCGTCTGGGGTGACGGCAAGAGCGGGTGCCGGACTCAAGGGCAGCGGAGGGGACTGGGGCCCATAACCTGTTGACGGGAGGTATTTACAAAGGCAGCAAGAGTAGTAAATTCGCACTAGAGGCGGCGTTAAATAGATCTGGGGTGGAGGAGCATATTCCCGGCATATACTTGGGATATTCCTGATACGATGCGGGTACGATGCGGCACAAAGGCATCATGGTATCGGTGAGCATAATGGCTGGGTCAGGTGCACGAAAGGGAGTGGCACAAGTGTCGATCAACTGGGAATGGGGTGGGGAAACACAATTGTGCGGTGTCTGGGGCGGGAAAGGCGGGAATGAGTATCAGTGCAGCGGATGTGTAGACTGGACACGTGGCATTGTCACAGCTCAACACCCTGAGCACCCCACTCAGCACCGCCACCAAGCTCACCAGCGTCGGCGAGCCCATGGACGCACGCACCCCCGGCTATGCTCAGCTGGTTGGGAGCCTGCTGTATCTGTCAGTCTGCACACGCCCCGACATTGCCCAAGCCGTGGGAGCTCTCGCCCGCTACATGTCCAAGCCCAGCCTCGCCCACTGGCAGGCAGCCAAGGGCGTGCTGCGCTACCTGGCGGGCACCGCCAACTACGGCATCACCTTTGGCGCTGGCGGCCCCGGGCTGGAGGCCTACTGCGACGCAGACTACGCCGGCGACATCGACACCCGGCGCTCCACCACCGCCTACTTCTTCATCCTCAACGGCGGTGCCATCAGCTGGTCCAGCCGCCTGCAGCAGACCGTGGCGGCCTCCACCACCGAGGCCGAGTACATGGCGGCAGCCGCCGCCATCAAGGAGGCCCTCTGGCTGCGCACCCTGTTGGGCAACCTGGGCCAGCCCATCCAAACCATCCCCATGCTGGCTGATAGCCAGGGCGCCATCAAGCTGCTCAAGAACCCCGTCTTCTCCATGCGCTCCAAGCACATCGACGTCATCTACCACTTTGCCCGCGAGC